ATTGGCTGAAAGTACAAAATGTGAAACATTGAATTTAAACTCAATGATCTTAAGGTTGTGACTGTCCTATTTTCAAATCAGAGTCGATTGGTGTTTGATTGTTACTGAAGAGTTCTAAACCAGGGCGAAACATCTGTTCAGGTGCTTCCTGGTTTTTAGTAGTTCTTCGGCCAATACTTGCAGTTCATTATTAAAACTAGATGCCAGAATTTTTGAGAACACTAAAATTTAGGACATCAGTTTACGTTAAAAATACATATGTATTTGACTAAAATGATGTAGTAGTAGATAGAGTGACGAAATGAAATTGGTCAGCTTGTCCATTTTATTTGACGCTTATGAATTTATAAAACGTTTCCATTTCATTATTAAAAGAAAAAATGAATATCGGAACCAACCAAAAGTTGATTGATGAATTATTCCCGTTGAGCTATTGATTATAAAAGCAGTAGTTGATCGGAAGTCTTTATCTAAATAGATGATAACTACTTTCTCAGTATAACTTTATGTCAAGATTTGAACTTAACAAACATGAGGCTGGTTATGACATAGTTAATGATATTTAAAAATTAATTATTAACTAAATAATTCGAAAATGGATATGAATAAGGGTAACTATGGTACGCAAAGGTTGAATTTAACAAAAAATATGTTGGAGCTGACCATTATAGAATTAATAGAGCTGTATACAACAGATGTATATACATACAATAGACAGTAGACTGAATTACGTGTAAAACAATCCAGAATGCTTAATCTAGGTTACTTCAGTTTCCAGTACAGTAGTTATGGAGTAAATGATTGTCTTTATTTTTCCTTTCCCTATGGTATAATTATTGATTCTCAGAAATTCAATAATACCCTTGTCTAATTATCGCTACATAAACTTATTAGTTTATGTGGTGATATCGAAAATAGTAGATTATTTCTTTATATTTAATTATACTTGTCACTGAACAGCTTAAAAAGATAACGGATATATTCGTGAGACAAGCTAGACCAAAAGGCTAAAGGGTGTTAAGTTCACCATGGTCGGTAGATGACCACCAAGTAACTGAAGTGATCTGGTGACCGGAAAATTATGCATAGAAATCTTATATTCAACAAACAGATGGTTTGATATCATGAATTCGTTTCTTTTTAAGTTCAAGCACGTTATTACGACTAGTGTTTTTATTATTTGCTACATATCTAAACATCTACATAGGTAAGTGAGAATAATTTAATTCCCGTTCATTACCTTAGTTATAATTGAAAATTTGATTATGACAATGTTTACTACGTAGCTCAATGTTGGTGCTTTAAATTTTCACAAAAATATTCGTTCAGTAAATCTAAAAACTAAAGTTATAAGACATTACTTCACAAAGTTTTAACAAATCAATCTTATCCCTTCAAAAATATTCTTCATTTCTTGTAGTACATACGTTTCATACAAATTTCTATCGTCTAAAATAATCCTAGAAACACTAGGATGTCTGCTTTTATGTAGTTACATGTTTTGTCATCTACACCTTCTCTGCATAATCAACGGTGTGTGAAAATTTCAAACTTCTACAGTAGAAACGAATATCAGGAGGTTAAACCCAGTGTAAGTAGGGAGGTTAAACTATCACGATGAATGAGTAACTAGCTACAAAATTTATAGAAAGCTACAGTTGAATGTATAAAGTGAACAAAATTTTATCAAACCTAAGTGTTGTGCTTTTACAACTGAAGAGCATCTGAAACTCAAAACAACTGTCAATCAACACCAAGGTCAGAATTTTCAACACAAACGTCAAAACAGTTCAACTGTATGAGACGGAAACTTGGAGAACTACGAAAGCCATCATCCACAAGATACAAGTGTTTATTAACAGTTGTCTACGCAAAATACTTCCGATCCGTTGGCCAGACACTACCAGCAACAATCTACCGTGGGAGAGAACAAACCAGATCTCAGCGGAGGAAGAAATCAGGGAGAAACGCTGCAAGTGGATAGGACACACATTGAGGAAAGTACCTAACTGTGTCACAAGGCAAGCCTCCACTTGGAATCCTCAATGGTAAAGGAGGGGAGGAAGACCAAAGAACACAGTACGCCGAGAAATGGAGACAGATATGAGAAAAATAAACAAAAATTGGATGGAACTGGAAAGGAAGGCCCAGGACAGAGTGGGATGGAGAATGTTGGTCGGCGGCCTATGCTCCATTGGGAGTAACAGGCGTAAGTAAATGTTGTGCTAAAATTATATGTACAGACAATTGCCTGAAATCTATTTAATTATCAATAATCCTGACAGTAAATCAGGAATTAGAAAGTATGAAAGATTGTAAATATTTTGGTAATTTCGTTAACACAAGAGCTTGAATACTATCCTGAACATAAATCTTTACAACCGTCATCGAGACGTTTTTTTAAAGTTAGAACACTTTTATTTTATCAGTTGGTTAAAAACTCAAGTCACATTGATAATTTATGATTTTCGCTAGAAAGTAAACCTTCCATTTGAAACTACTGTTTTGACAATATTATTTCTACAGCTTAGCATACAACCATTGATACCAAATAAATGGTCTACTATTATTAAACATATGGTCAATCTGTACATCAACTGGACTGTAGATTAAGCTGAAACATTTACCATTGTGTAATGCATAAATATATCACTGAGCATTGACAGTATAAATTTTCGTAATATTCAGAAATATACCAATCGGATGCAATTTTCATTTCGCTAATAATTCGTTCATTTAAACCATTATTGGTTATTATTATTATTATTATTATTATTATTATTATTATTATTATTATTATTATTGTACTTGAACTTTTATTCACGTACTTTCACATTTATCAACTACAAATTGTGGTCACAAGACCTTATATAATTAATTTTGAAATATGAAGTAATGGAGAATGCTACCCTTGATAAATATCCTAGGTACATATTTCAATGTATATTCTTAGTTAATATTGCATACTCTCCAGTAATCATTAATAGTTAAATCATATTAGACCGTCGTATAATTTTATACTGTAAATCATCAAAATTGTCTGACTATAGCGAAGTCCATAACTGATTACAGAAATTGTATTCGAAAGTAACGATGAGGTTATTAACTTGATGAGAACTGAAACTAACTGAATCAGAGATCATTCTTATATTCAGTTAAATATATTCTAGATAACCTATAGTGATGAGTCAAGTAGAAAAAGCGTAATTAAGAATGAGTCACTTTTAATGTGATGGATGTGACAAATAAACGGTAATTTTTGTAATTTCCATTTAATCAAGTACAAGTCCTTTCATTAATTATATAATTATAACTTTTACAGAGGTTTATCAGTTACATTCATAATCTGAAAGGAGGTAAAGTATTTACAAGTGTGATAGTAAAGTGAGATATAAAGTGGATAGTTCCTAGGCTTACAAAACAATTAATACACAACCAGTACTGTGTATTTACTAAGCTTTTCAAAGGTTGTTTTAAGACCAGGTATTTTCACAAGACACTTATATTTACATGTCATATGGTTGAAAATTATTGATAAGGCGCTGTAGGCACGCATTGAGTGCATTCGTTAATTTATGGGATCCATCTACAGTCTTTATGGAGTTGAAATTCTCCATGGGATTTGAATAATCGTCACACAGTGTCACAGTTAGAGACATTAACACTAAACGGTTTGAGTTGTGACTGAAATTCATCAGAATTCAAATATGTACACTGACTAATTACTGAAAAGTAACTACAGTCATAATTTTTTTTGACCTTAGTGTTGATTAAACTCCACCTATCAAATCATACTATTTACATGTCTGTATGTTGTAGGTATAACTTGCTGGAAATTGTTAACTAGCATGAAATTTAAATAACACGTTTAATGCCGATTTTCTTCAATCATATAACACAAAAACATACTGTAGACATGGTGTCCAGCTAGTTTGACTAGTGGTTTTTATTACAAATTTACCGAAAGAATTCAATTAACTCTAAGGATTTCGACCAATATGACATTAGTTACTATTCCGTAATCAATTAATGTATCATTGTCATTCACCTAGATAACTCTATTTCAGATTTTTTTAATGACGTTTAACTATAAATAGCTCAAAATACTAGTGAATATACGTTTTTAGTTTTGTTTTAAAACGTCGACAAATGAAGAAATAATAGATGATGTTCTTTAAAGAATAATTACGTATGTAAATACAACTGGAATAATAAAGTTTAGAAAAATGACTAAAGGTTAAATCTATCATCAGTATATTGTAGGTCATATATATATCAGTTAATCTGAAACTTATTACAAGTTGTTCTAAGCCTTTTTAAGTACACCAGAACAATAGTTGAAAAGTTTATAGATAAATGCATTATATTATTTTCACTAAACTAAATCCTCTACTGTTTGGTAGAAGTAAAACAAGGTGATTAATATGCAGAAATATGAAATGGTAATTTCCCGACTGTTACATTCTTACCTTTTGATTTACAAGATACTTCTGAAGTTTGCAATCGTAATATTATGTTATCTTCCAAAACGTTTATAACCTTTCATATTAATCAGTTGGAACCTACTTTTAAATAAATGAGTATATTCATTAATAGTGTAGTGGAATCAATTCACAAGATTGTTTGTTAGTAGTATACAGCGGAACGTAGCATCAAAGTTGCAACAATTGTCAGACAGAGTAAAATTTTCAGTACATAGAAAGTAGGGCGGTGGCAGGACACTGGGAACCTAAACGAGAAGACGGTTTACATCGAAAGATGCAAATGGGTGATTGAAGGCTATATATATTCATTATTTAAATAATTTGTAACTTTTTATGTGAAGTACACCTTCCTCCTGTCGATTGCCCTCTCACAACAGAATGTGTTGAGATAAGATTTTACTGTTTAAAATATTTTTCCGATTGAGACGTAGTTTTTGGTAGACAATGAATAAAGGATGTTAAGTATAAAAAGTTACTAAACATAGTAGTTACTAATTAACTAAATATTTAACTAACCCGACAATCTGAATGGCCACAAATAATGATGTCGTTAATTCTACATCGTATTAAAGTCAACTCTAAAAATCCTGGTGTAACACAATTTTTATTAAAATGTTCCAGTGAAGAATTTTCACAACAAATGAAATTTCCTGGATTTCTTTCGATAAATAATTCACCAACATTTGAGCATAAAAGTTTTGATGTTAAAACACGTGAGTCGACACATGAGATGACAGCAGCTAATATCTGAAAATTAGGACACAAATGAACTACATGAATAAAACATTTTTATATGTTTTTAGAAATGCGTAAACGGTTATAATCTTTTGGTTACCCACATTGACAATGTAACTAGATTAGTAGTGGTATTGTTGCTATTTGGATAATGAACACAGAACCGTATGAAACCAGTCAAAACTACTATTGATTTTTGTTTTATCGTGCTTGTACTGTTAAAAACATACTACTGGTATCAAAGCCCTTCAACTGACAATTTTTATATATTAGAATTTGAAAGAATATCCTCGTTCCGTTATTTAGTTTTGATTGGATAGTTATGATAAGTAAACCTGTTCGTCACGCTAACGTACAGCCACGAAGTAAAGCCGATGCCTTTCAGTTATAACAAGAGGGTGATTGAAAAAGCAGTGGAAAAATAAAAAGCGTCGGACAAACGTTTTGTCACATGATAAGCCTATAGTAATGCTGACTACTGACCTTATTCATACAATAAACTAACTTATTATCATGCATACCAGAACTTGTGGAAAAAATGCTATATCGAGACAATGCGTTCAGGAAATACACATTGTAATAGAGACTGGTCAATTGTAGCCTTGAATAATGCGAACTGGAAATTATAAACTTTTTCTATTACTTCCTTACTTGTTAAACAATTGAGTGTCTATTCTGACTCAGTATATCCGCCTGTAGCTCTTTTAGGTTTATTGCCAGTCGCAAGCCCGGGTAAAGGAAGAGGGTTGATTATAGGGTCAGCAACCCCATCCCGTATAAAACAACCTTGCTAAAGAACGTTGACTAGAATAAACAATTTAAATAATTTAAACTCTGCCCTGGAAGTCGGAGGATTTCCTTTCAGAAGAATTATGACTCCACATAGTGAAAGCCGAGATTCTCCGGACGTCAAAAGGCCAATGCCCTTTCTAACAACCAGAGCAACGATCAATATAGGTGCAAAAAATGTCCGGACAGTGGAGGAGGCCGGGAGGACTTATCAAATAGCTATGAAAATGAAGAGATAGAACATAGCAGTTCTTGGAATAAGTGAAATCCATCGGACCCAAATCGGACATAAAAGGTTAGATTCGGGAAAGATGCTACTGTGCTCTGTTTACGAATAAGAAAATGCTCCATACACTTAGGCAGTTACTCCGGTGCTGTTGAAAGAAGCATATAAACCACTTATAGGATGGAATCCCATGGATTCGGGATCATCAAAGCATCCTTTAAAACAAAGTAGGAGGGAATTACAATGAAGGTTATCTAGTGTTATGCACCTACCAATGTTAGCGATGAAGATGATAAAGACTAGTTTTACGAGAGGCTGCAACCGATCGTAAAGAAGTGCACAGGAAATAACCTGGCCATCGTGATGGGAGCCCTAAACACGAACGTTGGAATGGACGACACCGAATTTCAAGATATCGCTGGTTGACAAGAACTGACTGGAAGAAAGGGACGAGAATAGTGAGAAATTTGTGAATTTCTGTGCACTCAACAAAACGGTTATATGCGGCACAATATTTACAAACAAACACATACACAAAGCTACATGTATCTCACTGTATCGCACTACAGGGAACCAGATCGATAATAATTGTATCACTAAAAAAATCACAGGGTTAATGAAAGACTTGAAAACCAGGAGAGGAGCTGGCATGGCTGGTGGTTGTCAAGATGAAATTGAAGGTAGAAGAGCACTAGGCAACTGAAAAAATACAGTATTACTAAGGTTCAACACAGCCTCCCTTTGGCAATCTGACAAACGTAACCCATTTGAGATAACTCTCAACAACAGGTTCCAAGCCATACACGATCTATTCAAAGAAGAAGGAACTACTATGGAGGACAACTGCAAAGGGATCAAAGAGGCATTAAGTCCAACGTATCAAGAGGTTCTGGGCCGCAAGAATTACTATCATAAGGAATGGGTCTCTATCGAATTTCTAGACAAGCTTCAAGAAAGGAAGAACAAGAAGACAGCAATACATGGAAGACCTAGCAACGACAGGGGAAAAAGTTTAAAGCGAAGGAAACACCAAACAACTGAACGATATAACGAAGAAACTAGTAGGGAAATATGGTAAAACAAAGCGATCAATCAAATAAATATAACGCGAGCCAGTCGAGAACAGAGGAACAGGTGGGTAGAACACTTTGAAGAACTCTTGAATAGACTAGCCCCACTGGACCCAACAGACACCGAAGCAGCACACACAGACCTTCCTATAGATGTTACTCCACCAACGACAGGAGAAATCATCATGGCCATCAGACAAATCAAGAGTGGTAAAGCAGAAGAACCTGACATAATACCAGATGAAACACTGAAGTCAGGAATAAAAGTAGCTGCAAAGACGATCCACTTTCCATGCAGAAAGATTTGAGAGGAAGGACCAGTGCCAACAGACTGAAGAGAATGACACATTATCAAGTTACCGGACAAATGCGATCTGAGCAAGTGTGAGAACAACAGAGGCAACACACTACTATCGGTAACAAGAAACGTTTTCAACAGAGGGTTCTTGAACCGAATAAATGATTCAGTAAACACCCAACTTCGAGATCAACAGGACGACTCCGTTACGATCAGTCGTGCATAAACTAAACTGCACCAATACGGATCAATGTTGAACATCCAATTGAATGGAACTTATCACTAAACTTCAGCTAACTTAACTATGAGAAAGCACATGACACAGTGAACAGGAGAACCTTATGGAAACTTCTACAACACTATGGTGAACCTGAGAAAATTTTTAACATCATCCGGAATTCATATGACAGACTTCAATGCAAAGTCGTGCATGGAGGACAGCTGACAGATGCATTTCAAGGGAGTACTGGAGTCAACACAAGGTTTCCTATTCTCTCCTCTTCCTCTCTCTTCTGATGGTCAACTGGATTATGAAGACCTTCACATCTGAAGAGTAGCACGGAATAAAGTTGACAACTTGGATGCAACTAGACGATTTGGACTTTGCAGGTGACCTGGCACTTCTATTCTATACACACGAACAAATGCAGGCCGAGACAGCTTCTGCATCTGTAGGTCTCAATATTCACAAGGGAAAAAGCAAGATCCTAAAATCAAACGCAGAGAACACCAACCCAATCACACTTGATGGAGAAGCCCAGGAAAAGGTGGAAACTTTCACATACCTGGGCAGCAGCATCGATGAACACGGAGGATCTGATGAAAATGTAAAGGTAAGGATTGGCAAAGCAAGGGAATCATTCCTAAAACTGAAGAGCATATGGAACTCGAAACAACTGTCAGATAAAATGAAAGTCAGAATCTTCAACACGAATTTCAATACAGTTTTACTGTACGGAACTAAAACTTTGAGAACTACTACAATCGTCATCATCAAAAAGGTATGAATATTTATAAACAGTTTCTACATAAGATACTCAATGTCCGTTGCCGGATATAACCAACAACAACCTATTGTGAGAGAGGATAAACCAGCTCCCAACTGAAGAGGAAACTAGGAAAAGACGTTGGATCTGGATAGGACATAAATTGAGGAAATCACCAAATTGCATCACGAGGCAAGCGCTAACTAGGAATCCTGAAGTTTTGAGGAAAATAGGAAGAATAAAGAACACATTTAATCTTGAATTGGAAACAGACATCAATAAGATGAGTAGCAACTAGGAACAACTGGAAAGGATTGCCCAGGACGGAGTTCAATGGAGATTCCTGGTAGGTGGCCTGTGGTCCTACGCGAAGGGAGACAGGCATAAGTGAGTAAGTAATCTTTGGCAATAACTCTTTGATGGTTAAAACAATAGATATTCTATTCAGGTCCCAGTATAAACATCAAATCTCGGATGTAAATTCATCCGGCTGATGAATCTCAGATAGGGAAAAATTTACTTTCTGAATTTCACTATGTAAGCCGTATACCAAGCGTATTAGATTATTATTAATTATTTGAGAAAATTAAGATTAATTTACCAGAAGATTTGAAAAATATAATTGGTAAATTAGCTTACATTTGGCTTTTCGTTGAATGCTTTAAGCTGATCTAAAAAAGACTGCTTGTTAACATGAGATTTCAAAATTCTTAATAAAATTTGATTCATTCAGTGATGAAATCGAGAAACTGATTTTTATCTACAGAAAAAGCAAAACAGGTTCAAAAAGTTATCAAATTCTTGTTAAATGGAATTCAAACATTTAATTAGTTGAATGTAAATTAAACATATGAAAGTGAATATATGCATATACATATATAATAAAACTGAACAAACTCATATCAGAGTGAAAGTAGTTGAGAAAATTTAAACACAGGATAATAAACCATCATCTCATCTCAAGTGATTCAGTTCAGATCTTAGAAGGAGCTCAAGATATGCATAAATGAAATTGAAAAAAGCAAACGTTGTGTAGTATATTTCGGATATTTAGTGATTTTATTAATAAAATAAAAGATGTAAGCTTCTACTTAGTTAATTACGAGTAATTAATTCTCTGAGCACGAATTCAATGTGGAATACATTCAACTTTAATTCGGTTATCGTCTAATGTCCATTGTCGATACTTGTCACTCACCTGCATTGAGCGGACTCTGTTGCTAATCATTTACTGATAGGATTTTGTGGATCATTGTCAAGATTAGTCACCAATGGGCAAGGTGATATGATTAAACTGGATGAAGTTTGGATATTGGTCTAATTTAAGTGTAGTTCATCTTACGGTTCCTCAAATTAATATAAGCGCATCAAGATAATTATTCTTTTTACTGAGGTCGATTTTATCATAGAACACTTCGTTTACTATTTTCATGCTGTTTAGATAAACATAGATAATAATGGCTCTTTATGATGATATTATTGTAAGTGACGTCACAAAATTACCAGGAGATTTATTTGTTCAATATATACCATCTATAGAAGAGTAGATATGTCCAATTTAGACTTTTATTTTTTTGATGATTATAATGTGAATAAACATATAATAGTCGGGTAAGGAAAATATATGGATAACCAACTAAGTCAAACATGTGAATAATCGTTATGTAGTATTTATTTGTAAAGTTAAAGAAGACTTCTGTTGGGATGCATTGAAATAAGCTGTTAGCGACAATGAGATTTAGTTGACACTGAAATGCGTAAAATCTATTCTGTTCAACTAAGCACTGATTCTGAGATGGTGGAGAAGATTTGTAGCTCAGGTGGATGATTTTGATGGAGTTTTGTTCTCTGAGCAGAGAACAAAACTCCATCAAAAGCACTGATTCCAGTTTTGAAGGTATAGACCGCAGATAATCTTACTGAACTTTGATTCTTTTTGATCTTAAATAAGGCGAGAACTACCATGATTCCCGATGTCGTTCTGTGTTTTTTACGTGTCAAAATGTTCTTTAATGGCTAGAAGGTAGATTGCATCATTTTTTAGCTGAAAACCTTTTAACCATACACAAAACATGGTTCCCACAAATATGAGAATATTTATTTCAAACAGTTTAACGCTCGACTAATTTATTTAGACTAAATAGGCAAACAAGTAAGGTTATACATTTGTACTCTACAAGTAAAAACGGTTAGCTATTCACAATAACAGATCAAAAGGTGGAGATTACTTTCAATCGAACACCTACATCTAAATTTTTTATTAGGAAAGGACTAAGTAATAATCAAAGAATGGTTAAACTAGTTTAAACACAAGTTGGCAACATAAATGCAACTATTTAGACTCAAAGAAACTTATGAACACTATTTAATAGGAATCAGCCAAAATATACGGTTCTCATAAAATCGTTTAATATTTACGTTTTCAATGACTACTCGTTTTCCCCTGAGACGAACGATTTTATTTTACAATTTTTACAGTAAACAGTTAGATCATATTAGTAAATGTACAGAATATTGAGTTGAATGAAGTTACAATTAATATACGATTATTTTACCAGAATTTTAAAATATACGGCTTATTAAATTTAATAATAAAGTGTTAGTGTCATTCAATGTAAAATTATGACGGTAGGCATGAAATATATTTATTGTCCCCAAATTTCTTATGATATACGGACTAAAAGCTGTTTGTACTAATGAGAAGTTTTGTTATATTTTGTTTTAGCCAAATGTAATGATCACTCTTGAGGACTTACGAAATTGAAATTTGCATTTGATGTGGAACCAAAAGCAAAACAGTAAACCTTTTACCAAACGACAGCTAAACATTAACTATAGACGTAAATATTGATTCACGGATTGATAAAGAATCACTGAAATAACTTCCAATACAGCATTGAAAGATAGTTTTAAATCAGTTTATCAGTTTATCTTTCGTTAATAAAGTTGAAAAATCGACAGTATTTTCAACATAAATTATGGAATTTAATAATAAAAAGAAATTTTGTTGTATTGTCTTTTCTAGGCCAGGTACAAGTAAGCGTCGATGATAGTATTCAGAACAGAAATGAAAACTTTATAAAGAGACTATCCAATTCAAAGAAAATAGCATCTATCTGAGTTACAAATCTTCACTAAATCAGTAAAAAATTTAGTTAAAGGCTTAAACAATACTGTACACAAGTCGTTGCACTTCTACTGGAACTCAAATTTCTATTTATTTTGTATGTCTTCCTCTAAGCTTTGAAATAAGGTATTTTTCAAAAGTGTCGCTCGATGTTGCAGCAAATGTTTGTTGGTTTCATACTATTGAAAGCGGATGCTGACAGATGAGAATCATCCATATTTAGTGATTAATACGTCCGTAATAAAGAATTGTTAAAAATCCTGTAGAAATGCGGACCAACAATGAAATATATCAAGTAAAGCCAGAATTAGTTATAAACATGATTTTAAACTATCTAACAAATAGTGTTTTTCAAACTTGTCTGATATAAAGTAATAAAGAGTCTAACGAACTTAGACTTCATTTGTATTTCGTGTAGAGAGCTTTACATATCACCTTTAGTTCATCGTACAGACTTTTTGCCCCTCACAAATACATGAATGAATTAAAGAATATTCAATTCCTAACTTTTGGTGCTTAGATTTCACTAGAAAAACTTCGTTCATGTTCCTAATAATGTGAACTTTCAGCCAACATAACCATACCACTTTATTTTTGAACAATTAAAAGTAAGTTGGCAACAACTTAAACAATAGTTTACATTTAGTAGTTAAGTAGATATCAATAAGCCTAATCTTACATCAGTAGTTATGTTATGTGTTAATTTTAAATTTCTTAGTAAATTGTATAGTTCTTCAATAAATCGTTTTATGATTGATATATTTTGAGATTTGTCCATAAAGCAGTTTATTTAGGCTAACCAATAGGTTTTGTACAGGCAAGCAAATAAACACTTGAACATTAGTGCTAATGTATTTGAGAATAATTGGTTTAACTATCGGATATTTAAAGACGAAATCATTAGCAGAATAAATGGTTTAATAGACGAACAACATACTTTTAAAATGTGCTGTAACCTACATTAATTTTTGGAGCCATGAAATGCAGATAATATCTGATAAATATCTTCAGAACATTTGAGGTTGATTTGAATAAAAAAGTTACAAAAACAATTTAATTCACAGAAACACGAAATATCATCTGACATACTGTATGTAATCCTATATTTCAACGTCGTTATTAACCTTTGGTTTGTTTGCGGTTACTAGAACAACCACTGTGAGGATGATAGACTGATTCTATTCTGCCTCCAAACTACTAGCCAAATCAATCTTTTTGAGAAAATATCATCGCTTCATTTGATTTTCTACTTTACGAAGGTAGAACGTACGAATATTAGTACTAGTACTTATTAAACATCTCCATCCACCTATGATGCTGATTTCAAACATTTGATTAGAAACATCAAATAAGTCATAAGGGTTTGAAATCCGACACGAAAATAAATGTTGAAATCATATTTGATAGAATCTTTATAAATTAAAGATCCACATATTAATTAAACTCATTAAAAAGATATTCGCTAATTGTAACTGAAAACCAGCTTATAGATGAAGTCCTTTAAATAACAAATTAATCACACAACTTTACCGAGAACTCTTTCTAGGGAGAAAATGTACAAATTTTTGTAACTTGGTGTTACCATTTCTATAGAATTAAGTACTGAGAGATTAAGGTAGACGTACAAAGACCTATCCATTCCTAATAGTTACATAAATTTATCCTCGAAACAACGAATCGAAAACTTTTGAAACCTAGTTTACCTCACAAATAAGGATGTTTTCTTGATGTAATCATGCATCAAACATTGACAATTCATTTTTTGTATGGTATTTGTTTCCTGAAATATAAGACTAGCAAACTTAAACGATAATCTGCTTATTGTTCTCAGTTGGGATGAGCATCCTAGGATCATATGATCAACTACTTAGGACGTAGCAGATATCTTATTATCAGGATTTCTTGACAAGCTTCTGTACAAAATTCTAATGCAGTAACACGACCTCTGAATAGAATTTTCGGTACAGCATAAAACTGTGCTTCCTAAAACTTGGTAAGAAACAAATATAGTGACTTCGCTAATATGAGGACTAACCTTCGAATTCAGAAATGTTACGTGGCAGTTTCTTTGCCAGTGACTCCATATAACAGCATATTGTTATTCTTTCTATACAAAATAACCTATAGGCTATAATAATAAGCAAGTTTATTAATGTTCAATGGACCATTTGAATGCGTTGCTTGAAAGTTTGGGCACATTTATTGGTTATTTATAATAGATAGTAGTAAGATAACTACAGAAATATTTGTGACAATCTATCTACGTAGATAGATTACGTACATAACACGTAAGCCCTAAAAATAAATATCTCACAGGCTAATAACAACCAAAAACTGAACTATATGAATAATAAAAGTTACGAATATGAATGAATTGGCCGAGTTTTGTGAAATATCGAAAAATATGAAAGATAAACAACAAATTTCTTAAGAATGGTGAAAACATATTCGTATTCCTCATCCCTTCTAAAAAAGGGCATGTTCTCAATCCTAAAAAACCATGAAAACGTGATGAGAGTATTTAATTTTAAAATTAAGGGAGATCGATGAATTTACATGGTGAGACATCATGATGAACTAATTGGTAAGTGGTAAATGATGAGCATGTCCATATCATGTTTTGACATTATCAATGCAATGGTAATCAATGTTGACGGGTCACTTTTGCTTGCTTATGAATATTTCACACTATTCAAGACGATTTCAAGCTGCACAAATGTATAATTTATATGTTGTAACATAGAACGTACCGTCGAACTTTTGAAAAGCCTCAAAGTTGGTTAAATGTACTCTGAGTTCAAATAAAAAGGTAAAACAAAATTAGTATAAACTCACAAGTTTTCAGCAATAAAGATAGTGAGTTGGTGAACCTGTGTTTATCTTGACAGATCGCCTTTAACTAAAAATTCAAACTTTTCTTATAAGGCGTTTCAGTCGTAGACAACTCGATAAGAAAACGGGACCCCACATTGAGTTTATTAGATCGCCGTTTGTAAACCCTCTTGACATGACCTCAGATACTAATAGTACTGGAGGGATCAAAAAGATAAGATATATTAAGATTCGGATCATAATTAAACGTAATAAATATCAGTATAAGGTCACTTCGCCTCCTACGATCGGACAAGGGGAAGAAGTTTAAGCGTTTTAAACGCTCATATTAAAGGAGTTTAGAAAGACTTTTCACTAATTTCGTCTCCACACGTTAAACACGCTCAAGTAATTTGATATCCCTTATTAGACGTAGGCCAGGCAAGATCCGTGTTAATAAAGATAGTTTTCTATGTTGTATTATAATCAGCTGTGTTGATATTTTGTAAGATATGAATGAAGATCGTTTTAGTCAGTATCACAGTTCGTGTGCCTTAAGGAGGTTGCGTCGCGACGTGAAACTGATGGTCGGGAATATACGGGGGGGCGTCTCCATACCTCAACCCTATATCACTCTGAAATATCTGAGGCTTTATTGAATGAGTTGGACTGTTCTTCGGATATTAGTGATTCTAAAACTTGTATCATGGTTTATATAGTGTCATTATCGCTATTACCAATATTAATAGTAATTGTTTTCCTGCCTAACCTTCCATATCATCTCCGTTTTGTGGTCGATTTTAGCCATTGATCTGGTTATTTAATTACTTAATCGGTAAATGAATTATATGATCATCCTGTTAGCTTTGAGGACATTTTCCACCCTTGTGACCACCCGCATTCTACTTTTAGATGTTTCCTGCTATGACTAACCAGTGAAAGTTCATCTCTCATCGATACTATTAGAGGTTTTCGGCGTTTAATATTTCAAAAATTCCTCCTGTTTGTCAACCAGTACTCCTTTGTAAAAAAGCTAAGGCTTTGGATCAGTGTGGAAAATGTAAGATAAATAACTGAGAATGATTTCAAATTCCTACATTAAACTGTTTTCGTGAATGTTTATTACATAACCACTTTGCACACATCCCACTCGTATCATTTTAAAAAGCAAATGCGCCCTTTGTCTTTATTCTTCTGATTAATTACAGCTTTTTTGGCTGAATAATCATAGTGTTATAATTTTACTACATCTCATTGACTGAAACAGTCGTAATTGTTGTGTATTTTGAGACTGTTGTCTCAAGATAGATGTATTCATTCTATCTCTAGATATAACTAACCTCAAGAAACTGTCAAGTCCATTAATACTATGGCCTCGAAGTTGAACGTTTGCACGGGTATGACGGTAACGAAGATTAGAAACAGCACATTAACATCAGAAAGAGAGAGCTTTGAAGTCGGATGATTTACATTTGGTTTCCGTAAAGATATTGGATGCGACATAAATATGTATATTCTTATATAGACTATGTTATGCAAAATTTCCCTGAGCCTTTGCATAGGATTCTTGATGGAGTACGAAATAAGAACTTCTTACTTCCTCTTTTACGTGTAAGTGAAATGCTGTTCCCGCATTGACAATAATCACAGTATTGACCTGATTCAGCTTCACCGGTGAACCTGTATAGCCCGTTAGCCACTGACCTCTCCATATGATTCTTAAATCACAATAATCTAGGTGTGATTGTAGGATACCAACTAAGGGGTGGATTAAGAATGACTGTCTAGGTAGTACAAATACCCGCTATTGCCCAGTTGAAAACAAAGTGATTGGGTGAAAGACAGCTCTAGATTTTATCACAAACGTAAATTATTACCCAAACAAATATTACCACTCGGTTATTCAACCAGTAATCATATTGACGGCAACAATTAAATATTATTCTATCCTTTCTTGGTAAATCTCGTACAGATGCGGTCGGAAGATAATTTTTAGTCGTGTTATTGATATATCTTGTCGTTTAACGCTACTTTTTATATCTGGTCGTCGATGATTTTTGTGTCGAAAATGCTTATCACTCATACTCGAAACAAGAGAGCCCAGCAATTCTCATGACGCGAAAGTTAGAACACAAGATTGGCCCCCAGAACACGACAACGACGACCCTAGTCGAAAATACACTCATTTATATATTGATAGTACACAGAATTTCATTAATAATTAGGATGAAATCAAATATATAAAAAAACACTCAGCTATGACAAATCATGTGCTGAGCATAGTCCATGTCAACTGAAACACGAATATCGTATTTTATACAAAATAAGACATCATACGAGAACACTAAGTAAATATTAGATTGAGTAATTATTACATTAAATCAAAACGGAAGTGATAATGAACAAAACTCATAATGAATAAATCAGTCGAATTTTGAGTTTTCTTCGCGTTATATTAGTTAGAACGCAAAGTATTTCTAATTCTCGACGAGTGCTTCGATTAACAATCAAAAATGCATCATTCCGCAAGCAACACAATCAAAAGGGAGCATATCAATTTCTGCCGCCAAATCAAAGTATCCAGTAAAACAACAAAAATGTAGTTCAGGAAGAAACATGGGAACTCAGAAAAGAAAACGAAAACTACAACAGAATACAAATATCGGAATTAAAAGGACTGACAGAATGTGTAACTGAAATAATCAACAGGAATAGACTGCAAGTGTATACATGAAGAGATCTTCATACACAAAATATATCCAGCCTCTTTGTTTACCTTGGCCTACGACTGGATCACGGAATACCTAGACAGAATATTATAAACCTCTTACCCCCTTCCTTTATTTTTATTTATTTAAATTTCTTCTTCCTTATTATCATTATTTTTTATTATCTCTATGTTAATTTTCACATCCATCATCCCCATCATCGTAATTACCTTGATAACACCCTCCGTATTACATATTATATTCACACAACAATCTTATTATTATTATCTCAATTGACAAGATTAAATTCTCATACTATGCATTTTATTCACACAATATTTTTTGCATTTTCATTTTTGCCATAATACTTATTATGACTGAACACTTTACTCCAAATCATCCTGACCTTTATTGAATGACCTTTCTCATTTGCAAATAATACAATTTTGAAGTATATATAACGTAACAGATGCAAACGTCCACCATTTTCAACACATAACATTGTCAAATTCATTAATACATGCCTTACTTTTGGTCTTTGTAAAAAATTATAATTATGGTTTTATAACTGATAATAATATTTATTTATGAATATCCAGGACGTTTTCGTTACAGTAACAAAGGCATAAGGAAGTCTTATCGGCTCGGAATAACAGGATTACATGTCCGTTATCTTTAAATTGAACATTGATGAATGGGTTGAATCAGCAATTCGGTGGGAATGTTTCAGAAGTAAGTCTGAATCGAATTGACTGAGACACAGTAGCGATAAAGAATACCGAATTCTAATAAGACTGGATGGAAATAACTTGACTGAGTAGCGTTAGTGGATGAATACAAGAATCAGACCTGGTATTTCTTGTATTGGAATTAAATTGACATCAGCACTACAATTACCAGCAGTTGCATCGGATTAAAGATAGCACTAAGAGTACAATATCCAGCAACTGCATAATAATAAAATAGATAGAGGATTGCACTAGACAGGTCTAACTTAAATTGCACTGAAGTGAGTAAAGCATCTACTGTCAAATAGTCAACGTGTCTTGGATATTTATAAATCAACAGGACAGTTGAATAAGATGGGCAGACAAACAGCCCAAGGTTTGTTAAAATTTATTACACGAATCAACCAGTAAGATTGAGCTAGTAAATTTAACTGTTTCATATTCGATCTGAGTGGGCAACGAACAAAATACAAAACGTTTAGGCCGAACGTACCATTGTGATCTATTTTACTTGAAACATTTAACCATTTTTCCATACCATTCGGAGGGCTGCTCCTAATATTACTCACAAAGCATTTACCTTTAATAAATAATGAGGGGATCAGATTCATGACAATATCTAAAGAATTCTATGAAAATGCACAAAACTATGTTAACTTGTCACCTTTAAGGGATAACGTAACTTAAACCAGTGGGAGAATTTATTGAGGACATACAGTTTTCATTCTTTTCTAAAGAGAATGGAAAACATAATGAAATAAAATATTCTTTTCATATGTTAAATCAATGCAATGAAGCAACGACATACAGATAGTTACATCATAGGAGTTAGGTGAATATTGATTATACACTGAAAAACTGACATAAACATGTGGAAAAGATGAGCAGGACATAATCACCAATCACAAATGAACTCCACAGTACGACTTTACCGTATACCACGTGCATAAACCGAAGGTCGTTGACTTTTTTCATGAATACGTTTCTTATTTTGATCAACTTGAAAACAATGCCAAATACGTAAAGTTTCATCAGATGCACAGCTAACAACCATTTCTTCATTTGGAGACGATGCAATACACAATACACGACCTTGATGCTCTGGAACAGGAAGGTATATTATTTTTTTATGATCACAAACATAACACAAATGACTGCACATTTGGGAAAACACAAATAACTTACATTTAAATGCTTTAAATATTCATGAAAACTGTATTGTGAATGCTTTCATTACAACCAAAACATACGTATGTTAAGATTTAACGACAGGAAACTTTAGTTAGTCAGAACGCCACAGAACATTTTACTAATAAGTTTTATTTGCGAGTGTAGAACCGCATGCTTTTAGTTCATTTTAACGTTATAAACATGTCAGGAAATACACACAATATATAACTAATTTACAACAATACCTGTTGTTAGTGATTTATTAGCTTAATAGACAGTTGAATTATGCAGTTTAGTGATATCAGGTATGTGAGCTTTATTATTTCCATTACTAAACAGGAAGAAAATCAATTGAAAAAACGCTCAACAAT